AGGAGCTGCCGAACTATTTCCAAAAGCTGCTGCTGCATTTTAGGATCTGTACCAGCAATGTATGAGGGTTCCAGTCTCTTCAAAAAATGTGCTTTATTTTTGACAGAAACATTTATGTTATGAGGAAAAGCAGGTGAATTTATGTTTGTTATGCTTCACATTTTACTATTGCATAAAAAGCCAAGATACATAACTTACAAAGATAAAATATTTTAAATCAAGTCCTTGGACGTCTATGTGTCATTGAATGTCCAGTTTGCAATTTGTCTTTTTGCCAACATAAAGAATAAGAACTCAGCAAGCAAAAGTGATAAGAAAGAATTGTATTCCCTAGGGAAGTGTCTGATTTCTGGCCCAAAATCTCAAAGTTCATGGAGTGCTGTAAGCCAATAAGTTCTCCCTCAAAGCTCGTGTGTCTCAGGAAGTGTATGATTCATTAAGAAACTATCCTCTACTCCCATTTTGGGTGCTTTCTGAATTATCAGACAATAAAGGAAAACTAGTGAAATATGTAGTATTTTTGATATGCCAAAGGAATTTGTGTAAAAGATATCTACCCTTTATTTTTGTTTTCTAATTTTTCATGATAAGAATGTTTTTGGAGGGAATTTGAGAATTATTTTTGAAATGAAACACACTGAGGAGCAGGTCATTTCTGTACGAGGCATACTTTTGCCCCATTTGAAGGTGATGTTCCTTATGTTTGCTTTAAAAATATTAACCTTTCATCTCCTTGGGTAAAGAACATAGGAATTTTTTTTTTAGGGAAAATTTGTGCTTGTAGCCATTTCCAGCCTTACCACCAAATAAGCTTTGTTCTTCAAGAATAATTCACCGTAAATAATGCAATACCTCTGAAAGTCCCTGTGGAATATCAGAATTAATTTAAAGCAGAATTCTGACATGTTGATAAGTTCCAAATTGTATTTGAAAATAATATCTTTTTTGATTCTATTTTTCTTTACATTTTTAAATCATTTTATTCATTGGGTATTTATTCATTGCCTATTATGGGCAAAGCACTGTGTTATGTGCCAAGGAACATTTTATAAAGGATTACTTAATTTGTTCAATATTTATTGAATACCTACCAGAAATCACTGTGACAGGTGTTATAGTAAATAATTCTTGGCCTCTGGAAACTAGCATTGTATTTTATTTTTTGTTTAAGTATTAATATACAATCCTATGTTGGTTTCTAATATACAGCGCAGTGGTTCAAAAGTTATCCATATTATTAAATCCTCACTTCCCCCAGTGTGGTCACTGTCTATCAATGTAGTAAGATGTTACAGAATCATTAACTGTATTCTCTGACTGGCACTCAATTTTATTTGAGGGAGAGTAGGTATACACACATGAAGTAAGTAAGTGGCATATAGGAATTAAATGCCTGAGTGGCATAATTAAGTTCAGTGAAGGTCAAGGTCATTGTGAATGAGAATTATAGTAAAGGGTGTCGTGGAATAGACAGACCTTGAAATGGGCTCTGACGATCGTTAAAAGTTGAGTTGGTTTAGGAGAACCAGAGGGAAAGGATCTGGGGGTGCTAGGATGGGGTTAAATTGTAGAAAGTAGTAGTAAGCCTCACGTCTGGATAGTAAAGGAGCAGAGTGTTCTCTCCTTTTTCATTAGGTTGAGGATCATGGTGGAAGGTGAAGCCTTTATAAGAAAAACAGATTTCATGTGTATTCTTCACTTATTTTTATTCTTACAGCAATTTGTGAATGGCATCTCTTTCTTACATTACACATTATATGATGAGTCTCACAAAATCATCCATAATGATAATAATTAATTTTAATCTGTTCTTTTTAATATATAGTCACTACAAATGATCAAAATTTGGAACTATAAAATGACATGAAGATCTTCAAAAATTGCTTTATTATGTTGTCACTACTCCTACTAGGTGGCCTAAAATGAACACTGGTTGTGTAAATCCAGAATCTAGTTCTGTTTTTTAAAAATTCCACATGTTCCTGTTTTTCTCTGTGTAGAGAATGTAGTATTTTTGGTAACTTATTTTAGACTTTTATCCATTTCCATCCATGTTTTAGTCACCCTCTTATCCTCATCCCAGGACTTTGTGTTTCTGCCTGCCTCCCTAAAATGCTTTTAGCTTTAGCCTGATGATCTGTGGTGGTGGCCCAGCTGTGTACAGTAGGGGAGTTTGAGATCTATCATGTGCTAAAATTAATGAAATTTCACAATGGGCTTCCTCTACGTTTAGCTCTCCTTCAGTAAACCATTTGATTTTGATCAATGACTGAATATTGTTTTAAAATATTTAAAATATCATTAGCAAATGCATCTTTTCCATTTTTTGGTTCAAAAAAAGGAGTTTTTATTGAAAATGCACTTCTCCCTAAGATGCTGAGGTCGGTGAATGTGCAAATAGGCAGCCACCTGGTACCCAGTTAGGTTTGTTTTTACTTCTGCTGCTTAGCTATGGCCAGTGTGATAAAAGATTTTACATTTTCTATAATTCTCCATTTTTCCTCTAGTTGAACTAGAGAATATTGAAGAGAATATAGAATTTGGAGAGAATATGGAATTAACCTTTGTAATTTCCCTTTGCTCCCCTCATTTCATCCCTACTCCCTGCAACTCTGCGGCTACCCTTGGCAGTCTATTGATGTCTCTGATTCTCCCATCCATTTACTGAAACAGAGCAACTGTTTCAGGATTTTATGGCTCCTCATAGCTTTCTGAATAAAGTTTAAATTCCTTGCTTAGTCATCTGTTATTTTACGTACTTCTCAAATATCCATCATTGTTTTCTTCTCTGCAGGCATTCGGAATGGTTTGCACTTGCTCAGACACCTTATCCTCTTGCTTTTCCGTGTACTATTCTTCCTGCTTTGTCTAGCTGCAACTCCAGTATCGGTTTTCCCTTTTCTTACAGGTTGCCTCCCTTAAAAGGGAGTCTCACATCTGCTTCAAGCAGCCCATCTGGCTGGTGCTTCTTAGAGTTTCTTCCTTCTTTGAGCAGTTCTCAGTGGAATACCACTTCCTTACAAGTGTCCTTGTATGGCGCCCTGGGACACAGTCCTAGTGACAGAATACTGCCACCACAGCTTGGCCATCAGTGGAGTTGCAGTAGGGGGCAAGGTCACAATTCCTTTATTGCCCTGTTCCTTTATTTCTCACAGTACCTCCGCAGATATGGCTGGATCAGACTTTGGAGAAAAGGTAGAGTAAGCAAAAGGGAATTATCATATAGAAGCATTCAAAGCAATGTCTAACATACAATTTTTCTCCTGCCCAAAGGAAAGCATCCAAGAAGTTGAATCAGTGAGTGGCCTCTTGTCTCTTTCCCTTACTCTTCTCTACTCAGGCCTGTACCTCTGAGAGCCTCCTTGTTCTCACTATGCACCTTTGGGAACCCCATCCTCAGCCTCAGGATCAGTTTTGTTCCAGGAGTTACTTTCCTCAGCAGAATGTTTCACAAGTTTGAGTTCTTTTGGCTACTGCCTAGCCACATTGTCTGTGGTGGTCTCTGACACCAAATCTTTCAGAGTAGTCGAGAGACTGTATGATTTTCTCAAAGTCTGATCACTTCGGAGATTTTCCTGCCAATGTAAATTTTAGAAATGCCTTAGATTCTTTCAGTTGTTCAGTGGGTAATTCTTGAATCAGACGTACACTTACAATAAAACTCTTCCAAAGATGAACATTAAATAACATTAAATTTTAGACAGAGTGCAGCCTGAACCAATATTTTCCTTAACACCCGCAAAAGGATTCTCTCATAATAAAGACAACACTTCACTTTATTATATGTATACAGAGCATGACTTCTCCCGGTCCCTGATTGGATCCCCTTATTCACTTAGAACCCCCTTGACCTGCCTTTGAGAAAAAAAGAGGTCCATGGCCAAGTCATGGCAGCTCACTTGGCTAGAGAAAGATCCAAATGAAGTTGTTAAATTACCATTGATTGTAAGGATTAGATTAAATTATTATAGAGTAGCTATGGTTAGCTTTCTTAACGGTGGAGTAGGGTTTTTTTTTTCAGTCTTTCTATTACATACCACACCCCCACTTGTCTTTTGTCATATCCTTCCAACAGCCTGTCAACATCATTTTGTGTGAACTCCCTTTTGTGCACCTCTGGCAATCTGGCATAGTTTTATTTTAGCATTACGCTATGATTGATTTACTTGTCTATTTTCCTAGCACATGAAGTTTAGTGAGTAATCAGTAAATGTTTATTGAATGATAAATGAATTAGTAAAGGAAATTGGGATCTGTTATCTTCTATACTTTACTTCAGCAATTCCTTGATCACTAGGCATGCGATTTCATAAAGGCCTAGTTTATTTTCTAGTGACTAAAATATGGTGTTTGCAATTAAAATTTTTTTGCATTTCAAATTAGGTTTTGGATTGTAAGTACCTTGATTAGGAAAAGAGGATCAGATTGCTGCTGAGGCCCAGTTTACGATTAGTATTTCCTCCTACCACTGAAGCTGTACTTTGTACAGCCTTCTGTCTTAGGATGGTTAAGAAAGACACTGAAATAAGAGAGTATGTTCTGAGAATAAGTCCCTCCTCATCTAGTAAATGGCAGACAGGCAAGTTCTATTTGTTGTATCATTGATTTAACCCTTTGATTATTTTGGCAAAAAGTAAAGTCTTTTTACATATAAGAAAGCATCTATTGGTGGTGTAATTTCTATTTAAAAGCAGGGAATGAATGGAAAAGGAGACATTTTCTTGTTCTTAATATGTGTATTTATGTATAAGTGTGTAAGAAATATATGAAATACTTAAAATTTATGTGTAAAGCTTCTAAGTAAAAGGATTTAAAAATCAATGTCCACATTAAGTTGTTTGGCCCACTTTTGCTCTGTCACATGTAATTTTTGGATATTTCAGAGCATGAATCTTCTGAAGAAGTAACTCAGCAAATTTTATTTTTTTTCTATAAGGATGAATTATAAAATGCCTATTTGTTTCATGATCAAATATATTATTTGACTTCTCTTCTTATAGAAATTTCAAGAAGTTGCTGAAAAAAATATGGAAGAATTGAACCGTACTGAGAAGTCACATGAACAGTTGGTCCTTGAGAATTCGCATTTCAAAAAGGTGTTGTCACAGGCTCAAAAGGAACAAACCTCCTTGTTGGCAGCCTGTGCATTGATGGCTGGTGCCTTGTATCCTCTCTATAGCCGATCGTGTGCCTTATCTACACAGAGAGATTTTCTCCAGGAGCAAGTCAACACCTTTGAGTTGTTCAAATTAGAAGTTAGAACTCTAGCTCAGGCTTTGTCAACTGTAGAGGAAAAGAAGCAAGAGGAAGCCAAGATGAAGAAAAAACCATTCAAAGGGCTGATACGCGTATTCCGAAAAGGTGTTATTGCAATTTTGGCGGCAAACAGACTCAAGATTTTGGGCCAATCGTGTGTCTCTCTTTTTACTTGGATGGAAAGTTTCAAAGAAGGCATAGGCATGTTAGTGTGTATAGGAGAGCCCAAAGACAGGCATAAGTTTCCAAGTAAGATAATTTGTGCTTTTTAAAGTCTTAAGCTGAATGTAAGTGACATGCTATGTAAATATGTTTGGCCATCATGCAGACTTTAAAAATCCACTGAATATTTCTAATCATGTAACATAGTCCCATATATCTATAGATATGTATGTGCATATGGATAAATGTATGTTTATGTATAAATTAGATTTGATTTTTGTTATGAACATTTAAATATAAAGAAAGTAGCAGCAAATATGTGTAATTTCAACTTGTCTAGCCTAATTATGTTTAGATCTCTTTTCACAGTACATCCAGAGTTTACAGTAATTTTTCAGTTAAGTCAATCTGTAGACTGCTATATTTAAATTAATTAGCAGTATAATTTATTTTCCCTTTCTATGAATCAGTATAAAATTATCAGAGTTAAAAACCTATTGAAGAATTTTATAAAAAATGAGACAAGGGTAGATTTTCCAGCTAATATTTTTTGAATGCTTGACTCTTCTGAGAAAACATTGATTTTAATTTTTAACTTAAAAAACAAGCTATTAAGTGATATTAATAGAATAAAGAAAGTTTACTTTTTCTTTGATGGCAATTAACAGTTTTATATATAAATTAATTAAATCAATCAAATGTAACATTTCTTTGCAGACTTTTTACTCAGTAGGCAAAGTTCTGTCTACAAGTTTTAATCTAGTTCTTAAATAGCTAAACATTGCTATTAATTTTAAACATGGATTTTAATAAATTTTTCTAGCATTGCATAGTGGATTTTTCTCTGTCTTTGCAGAACATCAGAAGGAACAGTTGCATTGTTTGCGGGCACTCGGTTGGCTAACCAGTTCTGACCTTCTTGCTGCAATTACCACTTCTATGGCCGAGTTGCAGGAAGCTATTAGTAAAACAGGTATGATTCCCTCTTTAAGGTCCTTACAAAATACATTCAAAGGAAATATCCAGAAATGCTGCATGGCACCAATCTAATAAACCAGCGAGGAAGAAAATATATTTGTTCTCATTTTTCTTTTGTTCAGATACTGAGAGATTGGTAAATATGCATTTATGATGCAGTGAATTAATGTAAACTTTGATGGGTAATTTATTTATGGGAAAATTAAATGACATTTATTTTATATAATTAAATTTTGTAATGTAAATTTTGATGGGTAATTTATTTATGGGAAAATTAAATGACATTTCTTGGTGAATGTATCCAATTTTTTTTCCCTTTGTGAAGGAATTAGGTTTGATTTTTTGTTATAAACATTTAGATATAAAGAAAATAGCAAATGTATATAATTTCAAGTTGTCTAGTTTTATTATGTTTGGATGCTCTTTTCCAAATCTTTCCTTTTTTTCCTAGTGATGATTTTCCTATAGGAAGCTTATCACTATCTTTTTTAAAAAGTAATACTCAGAATGTTTTAGTCTTCTTTCATTTCTGTTTCTGGTTGTAAATCTTAGAAGTTTGAGTAATAACCAAACCAGTAGAAAATTTTCACTCATTTGGTAATGTGTTTTTATTTTTTCTAATTAATTTTAAATAGTTAACTTGAGTAGTCTGCTCCTTTCCACCAGGTATAGAATCACCTATAATTAGTGATTTCCAGAGTTCCAAAATTCAAGTTCGCTTTTTCATGACTCAGATTGCATGATATATTTGTGTGAAAGGTTCAATGAAAACTAATTTCTCTACACTAGAAGAATATAATATACCATTACTTACCGATTAAGCTATGCCAAGACTAATTATGGTACTTTCAGACACATTAACAGTAAACATGGTGTAATGGACTTGTTAATACTTGCTGCTTAATGAAATGTTGTAAGCATTAATGAAATAGTGATTTAGGATTTAATTCTTTAGATAATTCTGCTATGTAAATATAGATCATTTATTGTGATTGCAGCTATCTAAAGCTAGGCCCTTGTAGTAGTAAACTTGTGATTCAAAGATTATTTCCAAGTTGTGGCCATTGATGGTAGTAAATAATATGCATATTTAATGCTTTGGCAAAACCTCAGCATACTAGGTTTGAAGTCTAAAACAAAAGTCTAAATAAATGTATTTTAAGAATGTTGGTATTATAACTTCAAAGCAAAACTAACATTCTTGAACAATCTTAATAAAATCTAGTTTAGTTGGATTTAATTTAATAAAGAGATGATTTCTGTTAGTCATATTCTTTGTTGGTATGTGGACATGTTTAAATAGATTCGTTTCTTAAGCCATAATCTTGTCTGTATAATATTACTTTGTTTAATGAGGTTTTTTCTTTATCACTGTGCTGTGTATACTTCAGGAGATAAACAAAAAATGTACGACTTGATCTGGCCATCTAGAAAATACGCACAATGCTATAAGCATGTGTGTATATATATATATATGTGTGTGTGTGTGTGTGTGTGTGTTTATGTAAGCATATATATTGCACTTCAAAAATATCACAGACTCAAAGGGAACAGACCTTGCTGGTAGCCTATGTGTTGATGGCTAGTGCCTATTTATCCTGGTGCCATATTGTATATATAACAAAATGACAACTCATGAATGACTTTAGGCAGAGGCAGAATATAGTCAAGGGCTGGATGAGGAAATAAGAATCTAAGAATCCATAGAAGGTGCAGCCCAATGTGGGCCTAGGATTATTGGGAAGGCTTCAGTGAGCCTTCTCTGTGGGCTTTAGTTGGGCCTAGAATGATACTAAGTTGGAGAGGAGAGATGGCATTCAGACAAAGGGCATGGATTACGCAGAGATGCAACAGTGGGAAGAAGCGACATGAAGAGATGATAATGGAAATCCATGTTTAACAGGCCTGGTTTACAGATGGTGATTACTACAATGTATTTTCCCTTATAACCATATTGGGGAGTGGTGGGAGAAAAGGTGACTCATTGGTGTGGGATCAGATTGTAGAGGTTTTACAAATGTAGGCTGTGATGCCCCTGAGCACATTTTCCAAAAGTGGCCCCTTGCAACATTTTAAAGTTAAAATATTGACATAATGATTATTGACACCCTGTTAAAAATAAGTGTGGGTAAGATCTATCAAGTAGAAAGTAGAGCAAGAGTGGTGTTTACCCACCTCCAGGAAGGCCTTTGACGTTAGAACCTGGTTGTGTCTCTGATTACTTGAGGAAATAGTAAGTTCAGGGAAACTTATTTTAGGGAAGTCTTTGTATGTTGTTGGCTTAAGAACAGTACTTATAGGAGAAAAAGTGATAGTTGCTTACATGTGGAGAATAACTTACACATGAAAGTCCTGAAGAGTACAGGGCAGGATATGTTCCAGACAGGCAGAGATTTGAATTATTATTGGACTAGTGCAAAAATGACTGGTGTGTACCTTCTGCAGAGATTACTTGACTAGCTGGGTTTATAGAATAATTCCTTCAAAATGTGATGAGGGGTCATTATTATTTTTTCCAGGAATGTGTTTTCATTTTTAAGTGCATCCTAGTGGTAGAAATTCTGATATTTTAGCAAAAAGGATGGGAAAATATTTTCAGGCATTTAAAGTATGAGATTATTAACAGATAATAATGAGGGTAATAAATGTAAAGCCATAACAGATTATACAGTCATGTTGAGTTTATTAATATGTAAATAACGTAACTAGGTAAGCATTCTTGTGTAGTAGAAAGAATACCAGCTTTGAACATGGCATATTTGATTTTGTAGCCAGCTCTGCTAGTTATTATTTGTGTGGAATTGGGCAAGTTGCTTTACTGGGCATCAGACTTTACACCTATAAATGGAGATAGTTTTATCTTCATGGTTTTTAGGAGGATTTAATGAGATAACACTTGCTGAACAGTTTTATACAGTACCTGGCATACAGTGGGTGCTAAAAAAATTGTGCCCTTTCTGCCTATGAAAATAGTGTATAACATTGATGAAGATACACATGGATATCTGCCTGTGTACATTTTTAGACTACTAATTATTCATTTTCTATTCAAATATTGCTAAAGTGCTGTACAGTGGAGGGAACATAGTGTATAGGGTTAAGCAGGATTCTGCCTGACTTTTGACTACTGTTCTGACACTAGTGTGTGACATGGCAAGTTATTTAAACTCTCTCTGCTTCAGTTTCTTTATTTGTAAAATGGGAATACTATTACCTATATTATAGAGTTTTTTAGAGACATAAATGTGTTAATTTGTAAAGTATTGAGAACAGTCTTTGTTTATTGGTTTGCTTACCTTTCTTAGTTCAACATTGGTCATTATTAGGATTTTTTGCATTAACTGAATAATAACAAAACAATTTCAAAAAAATTTAGTGTAGATCAAATGATTTCATAAATTACATTAGCTTATATATTTACATATCACATACAGCTCTAACTTTTTAAAACATGGTTTAATTATAAATTAGTATATAAAGATCAAGTAGAAATGTCTTCCTCTGAATATCATGACATTGTATGTTTGAATGCATCACAGGTTTGCTTTCTGTATAACTAAAAGAAGTCCCTACTTTGATGTACTTAATCACAGAGAGTTTTTTCTTTCCTAGTAATAGAAAGTCTGGAGGTAGGTAGAAATCCAGACTGTCTTCCTGCTCTGCTGTTCTTAGTTAGCATCTTCAAGTTTGCGCCTCGTAGTTTTAAGCAGTTACTTTACTTTCAGGCATCAGGATTGTGTTAGGGCAGCAAGGAAAAGGAAAGGACAAAATGTGAAGGCATTCATACATTGCTGCTGGGAATGAAAAATGATACAGCTGCTTTGCAAAAGAGCCTGGCAATTCCTTAAAATGCTAAACAGAGTTATCATATGAGCCCAGCAATTCCACTCTAGGCATATATCCAAGAGAAGCGAAAACATATCCTTACAAAAACGTGTGCATGAATGTTCATTGCAGCATTATGCATAATGGCCTGAAGTAGCAACAAATGCAAATAAATGTTGTCAGCTGAGGAAGGGATAAATATCCAAATGATAAAAGATTATTGGGCATAAAAAGGAATAAAGTACTGATCCATGTTACAACATGGATGGCCCTTGAAAATATTATGCTCAGTTAAAGAAGCTAGTCACAAAGGTCCTATATTGTGTCATTCCATTTATTTGAAATGTCCAGATTAAGCGAATGTAGCAACAGAAAGTAGATTAGGGGCACCCTAAGGTGGGGGAGGGTCTGATGGGTTATGGGAAGTGACTGCTAATGGATAAGGGGTTTCTTCTTGGGGTGACGAACATGTTTTAAAATTAACTGTGGGAATGATTGCACAACTCTATGAATATATTCAAAAGCATTGATTTCTACACTTTAAATGGGTAAATTATATGGTATGTGAATTATATCTCTAGAAAGCTGTCAGCATTTTGAAGGTATGTGGCTGCCAAAGGTAAAATTTCCCCAGAAGCCCCCCAGCAGTCTTCTGCTATTGTTTTATTGGCCTGAGCTGGAGCACATGGTTATCCCTAGCTGACTATCTGGAAATTGGCAAAAGAGCAGGGTTTGGGGTGGAATGGATCAGCTAATCAACAATGTTTGCAACAGAAGATTCAGTTTTTAAAAAACGAACTACCTCCACATTGACTGCCTCTATTGTAAAAGCAAACTAATCAATTCAGAAAACTTGAAAAAAAATCAGAGAATAACTAAAGATGAAAATATTTCCCTATCATATAGGAATAGTTTATATTGACATTTGCTTATGTTCTGATGTGTTCTTCCAATTTATTTTAACCCTCTATCTCTTTCTATCCATTCACCCTTCCTCCCTCCCTTCCTTCCTTCCTGCCACGCACTCATTCACCAACAGGTAAACAGGTGATACAAATGATGTCATAGGCTACAGACTGTTTTATATCTTCATTTAATTACTTTGAAGTACTCTCAAACTTATAGAAAAGCTGCAAGTACACAACAGAGACCTCTTTTTCTGCTGAACAA